TCAGCTTACAAATACAAACCAGTACCGGAAGATGAAAAGAGGGAGTGCAAGGAAGATGCAATACCCGAATCCATGTTGAGACTGTACAGCGCTGGGTTCCGTTCCTAGGAATTTGCCTACCTGAAAACCTCCCTCAAACCTACCTGAAAATAGGAGAACAGCCAATTCATAAATTTTAGTCATGAAATAAATGCCCTTAAACATTTATTAAAGTATAAATGTAAAGATATCATGGTTCCCTCCTACACTGTTGATGGGAATATAAATAGGTGCGATCACTATGGAAAGCAGTGTGGAGGTTCCTCAAAAAACTGAAAGTAGAAATACCATATGACCCACTAATTCCACTTCTAGGAATCTACCCAAAGAAAACAGAATCCTTGATTTGAAAAGACATGTGCACCCCTATGTTCGTTGCTGCATTATTTACAATATTTAATGTATAGAAGCAACCAAAGTGTCCATCAGTAGATGAATGGAAAAAGAAGAGGTGGTACATATACACTAGGCAATATTATTCAGCCATAAAAAAGTAAAGAAATCCTGCCATTTGCAACAACATGGATGGACTTAGAGGGTATTATGCTCACTGAACTAAGCCAAATGGAGGAGAGAAATACCATATGATTTCACTTATTTATGGAATCTAAAAACAAAACAAAACAAAATGAACAAGCAGTAGACTCATAGAAACTGAGAAATGACTAGTGGTTACCATGAGGGGGTGGGTTAGGGTGAATGGGTGGGGAGGGTGAGGGGGCTAAAAGGGCACAAAACTCTCAGTCATAAGTTGATCATGGGTACAGTCATACAGCATGGAAAATATAGCGAATGATTCTGTAACAACCTCTTATGTAGACAGATAGAACTGCACTAGTGGGGGTGAGGATTTCATAACACAGGTAACTGTTGAACCACTGTGCTGAATACTTGAAACCAATATAAGATTGTATATCAACTATACTTACATAATAATATATATATTTATACATGTATATATTGTGGTTCCTTCATGGTATAATTCATATTTGAAGGCAAGTGCATTGCATGGCATCAATCCATATCTCTTTCTTTGTTTAGAGTATGATTATAAATAATGAAATTAATTTTTATTTGTGCCTTGCAGAATTAGATTTCTTTAGTATGCTCATCTCAGATGACTTGAATAAATATGTAATGATAAAAATTTTAATTATGTTACTATTTTTACATATACACAATGTATTAGTTTGCTAGGGCTCCATAACAAAGTACCAAAGGATGGGTGGTACTTTTTTTTGTATTGCAGTTCTTGAGGCTATGAGACCAAGATCAGGGGTGGTTCCCTCTGAAGGCTATGAGGGAAGGACGTGCTCCAGGCCCTTCTCCTTGGCTTATAGAGAACCATCTTCTCTCTTTACATTTCTTCCTGTCATCTTCCGTCTACTCGTGCCTGTCTCTGTGCCCGGATTCCCCCTTTTTATAAAGATACCGGTCATACTGGGTTACAGCCACCATAACGGCCCTTATTTTAACTTGATTACCGCGATAAATCTACCTTAAAATAAGGTCCCATTCTGAGGTACTAGGGGTGAGAACTCCAACATAATTTTTCTTAGGGAGAAGGGCACAATTCAACTCATAACACATACCATATCCAAGTTTTTGTACCTGACTTCACTTTAGGAAGGATTTAAGATATCCATCTATGTATGTCAACATGAAAGGCAAATTTAGAAAATGTACTGGCCAGCGTTTCTCATTCGACCTTCCAGAAGAGAGGCTTCCCGTGGTGGTGAGCATCAGCCCCCTGGAGGAGAACAAACAAGCAGAACTACTTCCTTTGTTTCCCTTGGGTCTTAATTTTCTGAGGTTAGAAAGAATTGTATGTCATGGAGGGCATGGAAAAGTTTTAACATGGATGTATTATTCTTGAGTTCTTTAATCCCTAGGCTTTAAATGGAGCAGCTTGTCACTTGTTGAGAGAGCAATCTACCCCACCTTCATCACAGCTGATCCTCATCTCAAATCCCGTTCTCATGCCATTCCGTCACACTGGCTACATAACTTGCAAGGCGCAGTGCAAAATGAAAATATGGACTCCTTGTTCATGAATTATTAAAAATGTTAAGACAGCAACATCAGGGCGTTAAATTAAGAGTGAGGCCCTTCTAAGCACAGAGCTCTGTGCAGGAGAACAGCTTGCAGGCTCAGGAAGCCATCCCTGAATGCAGTGTGTCTGAAGTAATTCAACCAAATACACGTTTTGCACTGGTGAAAATACTGTTAAATTGTTTACTTAGGAGAAAGTTTCAGTGAAGGGCACAGGGCACAACTGACAACCCTCCACAGTGACCTATGAAAGGAAAGGCTGTATTATGAATCAGAGTTATGGTAACAGTTTGGGCCTGGGGAGGCTAGACCTCAAGGACTTACTCAATGTTTACCTCTTGCTCATCTAACTGCCAGGCTAGTTGGGTGAATCCTGTTAGGCTGTTCTTGGAACAGCCCATGGGCTCTCCATCTTATGACTCTACTACCTTGAGTTCTTTGCTTCCAGTCACAAGGAGAGAGGGAGTAGAGAAAGGCCATCTTTTCTTAATTGCTTCACGCCAGAAATATCATATTATCTTTTCTCATTGACCAGAACTCAATCCAGTTCTCCCAACCTAACCTCAGAGTCTGGGAAAGGTAGTTTCCTTTTATGGCCAGGAAAAGGCAATGGATTAGTTAACATCTAGCTTGACTTGCCACAGAAACTATGCGTTTCTGTGGAAATAAAACAAATCCATCAACTGTATATTAGTAAGTGTTAACTAAGTGCATAGGACATGCTGGTCTTGAGAAGAAGTTAGGGAAAATATTTGAGTACCTCCCCTCCCCATGCTTAGAGTTTTGTTGTGGAGAGGGGACATAGAAACATCAAAACGATCAATATCAAATATAATCGTATCATTATGGGCAAAACTTCATGCAGGAAGTCGTACTTGAGAAGTATGTGGAAATAAATGAAGACCACACAAACGAGAACAAGCAAAGGCTTTTTATTCCAAATTTGGTAGAGCAAAAGAATCACCACCATCTCCTGCATTCTGCAGAGACTCAAAAGCAAGCAGAGGAGTGACAGAGCTGTACAGTGGAAAAAAGAGAGGGTTCCAGGGCCCTGCCGGGAAGCGGTTGAATGGGACGCCGTGCGTGAGATAACTGAAAGTGAAGCATCCTATATGATTGGTTAGGGGCACGTATTTGGCTTTTACCAGTTGGTCCTAATTTGGAAGTGAGGTCAAAATTAAGGAAACTGTCAGTTAAAACCAAGACCTGGCATTCAGGCCCGGTGGTCATAAGGCCTTCTTGTTTGGCTCCCAGGCCGGTGGCTAGAGACAATGGTCTGACTTCTTAAAAGTCTGAGCTGTGGGTAGTAGGTTGCTTCCTGAGATAGTTGCTACAGAGTGTGGGTCACAGAGTTCTACTTCTGTATAGAGTCTGGCTATTGTCTATTTATACTTTTCAGTCTCTCATGAGCTTTGCAAATGAAAGCAGAAGGACAGTCCACAAATGGTTCTTCACTAACTAAAGAATATAATAAAATCTCTGACATGTTCATTTTATATCTTTATGAGTTGCCATCATTATACCCTTTTCAAAAAGTAGAAATGTAACAGTAATTCAGCAATATCTGTCAAAATGACAAAAGTACATTCCCTTTGATGCAGCAACTTCACTTCATCTTACAGGTGTATTTTTAAATGTGCAAAACAGCATATTAAAACAGTCTTTGAAACAAGGTTGTAAAGAACCTAAATACCCACCAACAGGAGCCTTAACTATTGCCTAACAATGAAACACCTATAAACTCAGAAAAAAAGAATGAGGAAGCTCTGTAGGTATTGATAAGGACAGGTTCCCCCAAGACATACCTAGTGAAGAAGCAAGAGGCAGAGCTTGTCTATAACATGCAGGTGTGCACGGCACAGTCTCACAGGGAGGTCATATGAATGCTCGTGTGGCCTGGCAGGGTGCCCAGGGAACTGCCGACTCTTCTGCCTCTGGCAGACAGAGGTGGAAGGGGCGCTTTGAGTCTTTTCACTATAGAACCCTTCTTTGCAGCTTGCTCACTTATGGGACGGGATGGTGAAGGTACAAGGGAGCAGAGGGACGAGTCCCAAGATGGCGTCCTGATTTCTGATCCGGAGGGGTTATAAGCATGGTGATGCCAGTTGCAAGATGGAGAAAGTGAGAGGAAGCTTGAGATGGGCCATCTGAGCGGAGATCTCTGTGAGTAGTTGGATACAGGGACCCAGAGCCCAGAAACTCATCTGAATCTCATGAAACAGGCAGATGGGGAAATGACCTGAGCTGAAGCTGGAGGGGTGAGTCCCCTGGAGCTCCCCATCCCCCTGCACCCACTGTACCCCTCACTGGGCTCCCTGACCTCCTGTCTCCAAGGCCAACTGCAGCACAACCCCACTAGAACAGCCTGGTTTGTTTGTTTTTTGAAAGAGCCCTTCTTCCTGAAATACTTATATATGAAATGATATAATATTTGAGATTTCATTCAAAATAATTCAGAGGGTGAAGGGAAGTAGGTGCAAGTAGAGAAGATGACTTGAATTGATAACTGAAGAAACTAAATGGTGGGTACTCATGGGCTTATTACAATATTCTCTATTTTTATACATACGATTAAGATTTTCCTAATACAAGTGTTTTTTAAAAGTACCAATGCTCAGGCCTCACCCCAAGCAATTAAATATGTTAAAAATTCTAGGAAAAACAATATTGTTTAAAACCTCACCAGGTGGTGCTCCAGGGTTGAAATTGCTCTATTAATCAAGATTCAGTTCCCATCTCATCACCCATCATTGCCTCACTGGGTCCAAACTCCCTGCATCCAGCTCCAGTCACCTGCTTCAGCACCTACCCGAAGACTGTACTGTCTTTCTAGCCTCCTTAGATGGCTCGTTCTGGGTCATAGTAAGGAAAAAGCAAATGAAAATAAAATGGGGGCAGATACGAAGACACTGTGACTCCCCAAATGTTTATTCATTTGAATCACATGCTGACTGTAAACTGATCTGAATGTCAAAGAGCAGGGTTCTCTGTGCCTTAAAGGTCAGTGACTGGACTTGCTCCAAACAGCTGGAACCCAGCCACAGGACTGGGACACGTGCATCTGGGAGTCCAGGCAGGTGTTCATCTGGTCTCAGGTCACCCCACCAGGGGGCAGCTACGCGTGCAAGGTGGAAGTTGGCTCCGGGCCTGCAGCCCAGCTCCATGCCTGTGAGCTGGATGTCTCAGGAAAGTCACCTTGCTGATCTGAGTCTAATTCCTTCATCGGTGAAAAGGGAAAATGCACCCTGGGCAGAGGTGCCAAACACCTGACAAGGAAATCCTACATAAGGAACCTGAGAAGACACCAGGTCCCAGTGGGATCTCAGGAATCCCAGGTTCCTCTCCTTTCCTGCTCACAAGTGCCAGTGTAAGGGAGTACCAGCTCTGTGGACTTCCTGGAAAGGAAGGAGAAGGAAAGTCATATCAGAACTAAAACCAAATCCAATTCTCCGACCAGCCTCCAAGCAGACCAGGGCCCCTGGGTGACCCTCATGTGACCTCCCCACAGTGACTATGGGCTTCTGAACACTAACTGGTCCCTTCTGTGAGGCTGATCTTCTCTTAAATCTGCAACTATAGATAAAGCCCACCCTCTGGAGGCCAGATAACATGGTGGATACTTTGCCCATGCTTTAGCAAACAAGTTGTTTTAGAAACTTATTTCTAACCAAGAAAGAAAAACGCACTACAAGAGGTGGCCAGAGAACATAGGAAGTCACATATTCCCCCACAGCCAACACCCCTGCCCCTGGACCCATGCACCCTAGATCACCAGCCCTAGACACACAGCCAAGTTTGCAGGGCCCCACAGAGGATCCACAACCACACACCACATTTCATCACATGGTCTTGTACCCCCACCCTTAAATTCCCAAATTAATAATGGGATTATTACTGCACATGCTCCCTGGCACCCACCACTCCTACTCCCCGATTTCCTTTGGAGCAGGGCTCTACCTGGATGCTGCTCCACGGCTGCACTATGAGGCAAGACACCCGGAGGAGCATCCACCCTCTACAATACACTCCTTTCTCCCTTCCTCACCACAAAACACTCCTGGCAGCTCTACAGATCACAGTGAGCGCGCTGCAAGGAGGAAAGAAGAAGGTGACCCTCTACCCCTCAACTTAACAGCCCATAGACCGTGAGACCCACATCAGCATGTGGCTGTGTCTTCCCACAGTTGGGGGGCCTCCATGTGTAGTGTGCAGATTGCACTTTACCTCAGAGAGGGATGTGGAGGGGAGAAGAGGTACTCACTAAGTCGTAAGCTCTGTCATGATGCTATATTCACCAAGAGAACGTTAAACTCTTTTGCCTATTTTGCATAAAAACACTGGATGAGCTCTTACAGCTCTCAATGTCAGGTTGTATGAATTCTAAGTTCTCAAGCCATACAGCCAAAAGAAGTCAACCTACTATGAAGGAGTTTCATGACAAACCCCTACTTCCACCAGTAACGCCAACTTACCTCTGCATCAGTCTACACAGCAACTCAGAATCCAGTGGTCTTGTGTAATGCACACAGAAGACAAGAGTTGAAATCAGCGGGACTGAGTTTGGGTCATTATCTTCATTCAAGCATTCAGTGATTATTTATTGAGGATCTCCTCCATGCCAGGAATAGGTCTAAGCACCGTAAGCGTACAACAATGAATAAAATAGACAACACAAATCCCAGCCTTCATGTTGCTTATATTCTAGTGGAGGGAGACGGACAATAAATAAACAAAATCAATAAGCAAAATATATGATGTGTTAGATGGTAAAAAATGTGGAAAAAATAAAGCTGAAAGGGGACAGAGTGTTCTGAGGAAGATGGCAATTATAAACAGAGGGTCAGGGAGTAAGGGAGTGGGCCATGCAGATAAATGGGGAAAAGCATTCCAGGCAGAAGGAACAGCATGGACAGAGGCACTAAGGTGGGAGCATGTAGGCTAGTTTGGGACAGCCAGAAGGCCACTGTGACCGGAGCAGAGTGAGCAAGGGTTAACAGAAGTAGAAGATGCAGGCTAACTACGAGAGCTTGAATACCCACTCAGCCCTTCAAATCCTTAGTTTCCCCCTCTGTGAAAAGAGACCAGTAATACCATTTCATGGGGAGAAGATAAAGTACAGCATATATGTTGGAGAACTTTGTACACAATAAAAATAGTAAGGTATAGCACAACTGACGTACCCATCAGTTTCTGCTACAGTCTTCTTTCCCCTTCCCTGTGTCCTATTCAGCCACAGGTACATACAAAATCCTCCCAAATTCCCCAAAAATGAGAGCCCCCCCTCATATCCTGACTCAGCTGCATGTGGAGGTCTTTCACAACCAGTGGCTGGCCGATTTGAGAGAAGGAAGGAAACGCCCACCGGACACACTCAGCCACCCACCAGCTACTATGAGGAGTTGCCTGTGTCTGCACAGCACCTGGCACAGAAGAGATGCTCAATAAATGCCAAGCGAATTGGATTAAACTAAAAAATAGTCTCAGACAGAGGCGGGAAGACAGACTAATAACACAAGTGACTACAAAACAGAAGCCAAGAACTAGGGAAGAGTTATACAGACACTCATAATTAAGGTGAAATTTGCAGCTAAAACTGTGCAATGTTGGTCTATAAGAAAAAAATCTGCCTGCCCTTGCCTGGCACTTGAAGCTACACATTCAGGCCAGATTTTCTCCCATGTGCATCTGTTCTCCACATGAAGACAGAACACTGCTGAGGTTGAACAGACACAAGAGGGAATTGGAAATAGCTGAAATGGAGAAAATCCCAGAAAAATCAAGGCTTAGAGTCACACGGATCCATGGGCAAATCCATGTTTACTGGCTTATTCCACAAGAAGGTTGATTCCAGCATTCAACACTCAAACTGCCCAGTTCCCTACTCACAGCGGGCCAATAGTGGACCTGGGCCAGCTGTCAGCCAGAAGGCTGTGGGCATGTCCAGAGGTAACCCAACTCAGTTCAACCAGTGGAAACGAACAGTCAGACCTCAGGGCAACCAAATAGAAACACCCAGTCCAGAAGCCGAACCCCGAGCAGGAGCGAGGAGACAGGAGCTCCGGTTTGGAAGGGGAAGACCGAAGCAGGAAAAGCTGCCTCCAGGCAGAGAGACCCAAGCACTCACCTGCAGGGGCTGTGCTGCAAGCTGGCATTTGCAGAGTGGGTACAGCACCTAGCTTAAAGGGCTCCAGGGAAGACCCACACCAATTCAGGAAAGAGGCATCCTTCTAGCCTCCTTCGTTGTTGTCCAGTGATACCCGGGAGTATCTGAGCACTGGCCTTTCCTCCCATCACATCTTCCCCAAGCCCATATTGTCACTTTTTATAACAATAATATTATTAATTCCTTGCCAAGTCCCTTTTATCTGTATGAGACTTCCTATTTCACACCTATTTGATATACACACCTACACTGTGCAGGGGACGTTAGAATTCCCACCACACAGTTGTGAAAACAGGTCCCTAATCCCGAAGTCCAAATCTCCTAAGCCATAGCTAATTCAGTGCAGCGCTGGGGCTTAGAAATCCTCGACATGCTTAGCATATTAACAGCAAACAATAGAAAACAAAGCAATAACTTCATTTCTTGTGCATTAGCATTTTGGCCACACTTTTGGTAGACGGCTGGCTTACCATAGCACAAGACTGACCTCTAATCAGCACTGGAAGTGTTAATACATCTAGACTGCCTGGTAAGGGTCACATACCCCTCACTCCCTACCTACCCCATCCCCACCAAACAGGCTACAGAGGTGACAGGGTGTTTTAGAAATAGAGGATCCTAATTTTGTGGTAAGAGCAGGCTACAAGGGTTCTGACCAAAGGGCCAAAATTTTCTCCCCAAAGAATGTCAGATTAGCTTAGGAAAATACGTGTGTTCCTCCTTTCACTGAAGAGAAAAATGTATAAAAATACAAACAAAAGCACAAGTGTGCATGTTCCATGAACCCAGCTGCCACCTACAAAGCAACATTCAAATTCAAGTCATGTTTTTTCTGCTGTCTCTCCATCAGCCTTCTTTGATTGCTCATTATGTTTGATTCTTCCACCAAGGTGTTGGGAATTTGGAAAAGAAGCAGTATGATTTTCCCCAAGGTCCAGCCCCCATCAGAGATGATTCTGGAACATGCATCTGCTCAGTCATGGGGGGTAAAAGCACTTAAATGCATCTCTGTGGCTTCACCTGAAACATAGATTCTTCCCGCCCACCTTTTTCACAAGTCTGTTTTGAAGAACATTTAAACATGGTGCTTCAACACTGCCAGGCTCTGGAGAAGACAGCTTTGGTAGAGCCAATAAATTCTTGACTTAAGGAAGGCCAACAAAGAACCTGTACCGTTTCAGAGAGCATAGTTCCTGGACTTCTACCAGATGTCTTTCTCCAGCAAGTGGTTTTTACAAGCACCTTGAATATATACGTTTAACACAAATTATTTGGTTCTTAATAAAGTACTGGCACATTTAGATTTCTGTGGCACATTTTTGCCTTTATAAAGAAAGATTTTAATAACTTTTTCTCTGATATGTGTCCCAAAAACCTCTGGGTGAGCAGTGCTGGCAGGGATTGTTACATGCTAGACGTCCAAAGTTAACAGCTATTGGGAATTTTATTTACTTTCTTCTTCTCTTCGAGGGTACTTAATGCTATTAAAGTTCTGTCTGGCAGCAGAAAAGGGTATAAAAGTGGCCACTTAAGAAAAGCAATTTGGCCATTTGTGACAACAGCTGCCTAATGTTGCATTTTATTTAATTGGAAAAGGATGCAGGAAGTCTGAGAGCATTAGAGAGACTCGGGGCTTGGAGATCATAGGAATTTTCTCCTCTATTTTCTTCTAATAAAATTACCATTATTAAGCAATTTATTGAGTGTCAACAACATACTAGACACTTTTTGAATTATTTGAAATGGGATGATTAAGGAAAAATCATTTAAACTCTACTGAAAGGGCACTCTGCAGACTTTCCAGAGCAGGTGACAGGGTGACACTGTCGTTAAGACCGTACGCAATAGCTATGAAGTCAAAGCCAAGACCCTGAGCAGGCGTGTAAGGCCCTGCCTCCCCCTCTGGCCTCAGCTGACTCCCAGTCCTCCTCTACCATTCGGTCTTCCAACTGCAGCAAGCTGTCTGCCTCTCCCCAGGGCCCCACTTTTCCCCCAGACTGGCACCTGCTCTTCTGCCTGTTCGGCACACCCTTCCCAGCGGATCTGCCTCGGGAACATCTAATCCCTTCAAATATCCCTTATTCCTTAAAATACCTTCAATCCCACTTCTGGGTATATACCCACAACAGCTAAAAGCAGGAACTGGAAGATACATGCACACCCATGTTCATAGCAGCATCATTCACAAGAAATGAAAGGTGGAAGTAATTCAAATGTCCATCAACAGACGAATGCATAAACAAAATGTGATGTGTAAACACGACGGAATATTATTCAGCCTGGGAAGGGAAGGAAATTCTGACACATGTTGTGACATGGATAAACCACTGTGACTGGCTCGGCTTATTCGCAGCTGCGACTCCCCAGCAGACCCACCCGTGTACATCAAACCTAGTGCAGGCTTCTCCTGAAACTACTTTGTTTTTAAAGATGAAGTATTAAGGATCAGTCCAACCTGTCAGCAGTAGAAGTAAGGCAGGTAGCAAAATACTTAAGTATTCTCTTAAACTGCTAATGTGGGCCTGGAATATAAGAAAGTCAAGCATTCATCCATTAATACAAATTAGAAGTAATCTGATTAGCCAAATCCTAGAAAAGATAAACTGCACAGGGAGTGAATTTTGTTTGGAAGGGGAGCGTGGTGATCATACTAATAATTTTTAACTCCTTGTACTGAATGTAGTCAGTGAGTTGTGAGCTGAAGAATCATTTAGGTAGAAATGCAAAGAACTGTCACCCTCTATTAGTTGCCAGCACTGCTCCAACAAATTAGCACAAACTCAGTGGCTTAAAAGGACAAAAATGTATTCCCTCACAATTTTGGAAGTCAGAAATCTGAAATCGAAGTGTCAGCAGGATCCCATTCCCCCCAAAGCCTCTGTGGAAGAATCCTGCCTTGTCTCTCCCAGCTCCTGGAGGCTTCCAGCAATCCTTGGCGTTCTTCGGCTTACAGCAACAGCACTGTATTCTCTGCCCTCACATAGCTGTCTTCGCTGTGTCTCTCCTGACTAAATATCCCTCTTTTTCTTCTACCAAAACACCAATTATTGGGCTTAGGGGCTTCCCTAAATCCAGGATGATTTTATCTCAAGATCCTTAACTAACTTCATCTGCCAAGACCTTATTTCCAAATAAGGTCATATTTTGGGGTTTCAGGTGGACACGAATTTTTGGAAGACACTATTTAACCCACTATGCCCTCCAAATGTGAAGCCAGTAAGTGTGAATACAGAAGTGAGATGAGTCATCTGTAGGGGTACCTCACTATGCCACCGAGAGTGAGATGCTTCCCGCAGCTCATACATGGAAGATATATTCTGATCTTAACAAGGAAACCATATTGCAAGCTGCATAATATCAATTATTTATATCATTCAGACTTGTATAAACAGAAAGATAGGAATGTTCAAGAAGATCAGTAGAGGGAGGTTCTGTATACCTCATGGTAGTTTTGGTACAATCCCAGA